TCTTAAAGGAAAAATGCCTTTGCTTTCTGTGACCATTCCATTCTGACTTCCATCAGATCAGCTGGGAGACTTTGTTGTCTAATCTCTGTTGGTTTCATCTTCTGTCATCCCTGCCTGCCTGGCTCATCAGGAATCTGCAGGAGTCTGTGGAGGAGGAAGCCCCCCAGGAGTCCTGGGATGAAGGTTATTCGACTCTCTCAATTCCTCCTGGCACATCTGCCTCCAATGAGTCTTACAGGAGCAACTTGCACTCAGAGGAGCAGCAAGTCAACGTGGCTGTCGACATAGGCAGTGAGTACTCCACTGTGAAGTTGATAAAGCTCCAAATTGTGTCCCAGATAGACCCCATAGTCTTTGGGCCTTGCTCCGCTGGCCGGGCTGAGAGTTGTCGTCACTGTGGGCTGAACCTGTCCATCAGTGTAGATTTCAATCACTCTGGATTCCAGTCTGAAGCATGGGCATGCGGTGGGTCAGTGAGCTTTGCTCTCTCTCTAGTCTCAGTCCATGCCCGTCGCACCCTGGACCAACTGTCAGGACATTGAAACCCAAGGCAGGTGTTGCCAACTCACACCAAACTGTGCAGCGCATGCCCACGAGTTGTCTGTCAATCTGAATTAAATGTCTCTTGCCAGCTACCATGTTCCTCATGAGTTTTGTTCCCCATGCATGTCTGTGAGGTTCTTTCCTGTTTGTACAAACTTGGGATAAAGGGATAACGATCTGCCAGAATAGGGACGTTTCACCATTGGTTCTGAGACACAAACCAAGGAATCTGTATCATGATTGGCTTTGAGACCTCCTGAAGTCTGTCTCTCACATTATCCTGTTCTCATGCTGAGGAGCCTGAGGTCCCTGTGCAGGGATTAGACAGTGGGCTGTTACGGGTGTAGGGTAATGGCTTATTTTGTCTGTCCCTATCTGAATTTATTGCAGAGACTAAAAAGGACCAAGAAAAGGAAGAAGGCTGGAGCCCACTGTGCCCCAGGTAACTTTGAGCAATTGTGAACAGCTAATGTTTTGTGGACACCTGGAAACGCCAGGTCCGGGGAAAACAGAGTGGGCTGACAATATCGATACCATCTTTTCAACGAAGTCTGAATTATTCCTACTAACATTGCTGTTGGTTTTCATTGCAGTAGATATTTAGGTTTCCATTTCTTCCTCCCCTTACCATTTACTAACTACTGTAGGTTGACCATGCTTGTTTTTATGATCAGTGTACACTGTGTGTCCTGAGGGCACTAACTCAGAGTGTCCTTTTACTCCCTCATCACTGTGTCACCTGGACGGTTCACTGACGGTTCTCTCTCTGTCTTTTTCATTCTTTTTACCCTACTCTTGTCCATCCCAGCATAAGGCAATAATTTGTTGTGTTATTAATGGATCTATGTTTTTTCTTTATTAACCACTTCCTTGTGCTACCCATGAAATCTAGTTGGGGCTCTGTGGTGTCTTATTTTCCCTGACTTATTCTTTGGCTTTTCCTTTTTTAGGCTCAGCATGGAGCTGGTGGAAGCAGAAGAGCCTGAAGTCTTCTGGTACTCACTGGATATATTGTGTTCAACATATACAGCGTATCTTGAGTTTTATTACACATGCCAGGCTTACACATATGCCATTTTTTTATTTGTAGAAGAGCATGTTCGCTTGACTTTGGACATGGACAGTAGGTTTCTTACTATGACAGTGATAAGACTCCACCTGGTCTCCCAGATAGGGGTCATATTCCCACACTAAGACAACATGTCACATGGGACTCTGCCAGTGCAGAGTATGAACAACACCATGTTCTTGCTGAAAACTCTTAACCTGGGTTTCATAGCCCGAGGTAATCTCCAGACAACTTCAGAATGTAGAACAGTGAGCAGCACTACTGACCTGTCTCCTTAAGACCGCCCATGTCACCACAAATCACACAGCTAAAAGGAGAAGAGACATTTTGGGTTGAAAAAGAGTAAAAAGATAATGTAGCCACATTTCTTTAGTTCTTTTGAACCCAAAGTGTCTCCTCATCTTTTTATTGTTGATGGTGGTGACATGGGCTTGTTTGTAGAGGACAGGTCAGCTGTCTGGCTCAATGGTCTGTACTCTGAAGTTGTCTGAAAATGTCCTCCTGATTAAATTCAGCCTAAGCGTTTTTCCGGGAACACTGCAGGGTCAATGCTTCCTCACCCATCTGCAGGTAGAGATAGTCCCATGTGTCTACCACCATGATCATGATACCAGAATTGTTCCACTATTTGTCTATCACCATGATCGTGATACCAGGACTGTTCCACTATTTGTCTATCACCATGATCATGATACCAGGACTGTTCCACCATTTGTCTATCACCATGATCGTGATACCAGGACTGTTCCACCATTTGTCTATCACCATGATCGTGATACCAGGACTGTTCCACTATTTGTCTATCACCATGACCATGATACCAGGACTGTTCCACGATTTGTCTATCACCATGATCGTGATGCCAGATCTGTACCTTTCAGAGATACATTATTTATACTGAAGTAATTGGAAAAATGGTTGTTAAAAGTATTAATATCCTGTATTCAAATGATCATCTCTCAACATTTTATTATTCATAAATCATCCCTGGCTGTGTCAATTATTATGTTTACATCTCTACACTGGAAATTTTCTATTTTTACTGTATCTTTGCTTTTGCTAGTTTCTGTTGTTGAACAAAAAAAATTCCCTGCCCGCATTTCAATTTTTGCTAAAGTTAATTTTAATCTATACAATGAAATTTTTTTGTCTTTAAGATAAGACCGTCAGCATAAGGCCACAGCAAAACAGAGATTTTGCTAATTTTTGTGCCTTTGTTAATTTCTGGCTGATGATAGAGGCTGCTAATATCTATTTAAGTTAGCAGCTAGAGAAATGTCTATCAGACTAAGGATATGCAAAGCCCAGGCCATTCTCTTTGAGTCTTTTAAACTATTTCAGAAGAGAAGAAAATAGGCAGATTCCACCTATGTGGACAGGGAGGAGAATACACTAAAAGAAACAAACAGCTGTTTCCCAAAACAGAATAGAAAATCCATTAAAATTCATATTTTCTCATGAAATGCAATCTCTCTAAACTTAGCCATTATATGAAAGTAAATTCTTAATATGCCACACTACATTGACTGTTGACATTCATAAGAATTCATTTCCATGTTTGTTATTTGAAAAAGCAAAAGGACTATAATCCTTTTTTTCTTTGCCGTGATATTTTTAAGATTGAGGATTGTTTTTCAAAAGAAAACCAAAGATTTTAAAGATTGAAAATTGGCATTAAAATTTATCCTCTCAAAGTAATGATGTAAACGCAGGCTGTCTTATTCCTGTTTGTAGTATAACTGTCAAGTGATCATTTAACCATTCTTTAAATGTTTCAAATTACTGGGAACAAACCACATTCCAAGCTGTATCTTCTTTTGTGTCTTTATTTTACTTTAAGTTCTGGGGTACATATGCAGATCTTGCAGGATTGTTACACAGGTATACACATGCCATTTTGGTTTGCTACCTCCATCCCTCATCACCTACATTAGGTATTTCTCCTAATGCTATCCCTCCCCAATCTCCCCACACCCTGCTATCCCTCCTCTAGCTCCCCCACGCCCTGACAGGCCCCAGTGTGTGATGTTCCCCTCCCTGTGTCCATGTGTTCTCATTGTTCAACACCCACTTATGAGTGAGAACATGCAGTGTTTGCTTTTCTGTTCCTGTGTCAGTCTGCTGAGAATGATGGTTTCCAGTTTCATCGATGTCCCTGTAAAGGACATGAACTCATCGTTTTTTAATGGCTGCATAGTATTCCATGGTGTATATGTGCCACAATTTCTTTAACCAGTCTATCTTTGATGGGCATTTGGTTTGGTTCCAAGTCTTTGCTATTGTAAGCAATGCTGCAGCAAACATATGTGTGCATGTGTCTTTATAATAGAATGTTTTGTAATCCTTTGGTTAGGTACCCAGTCATGGGATTGCTGGGTCAAATGGTATTTCTGTTTCTAGATCCACTGTCTTCTACGATGTGCCTGAATATTATGTCTTTCTCTAGGTTTAGAAAGTTTTCTGTTATTATTTCTTTGAAGAAGCTTTCTACTCTTTGCTCCTTCTCAACCCCCTATTTAAGGCCAGTGAGTCTTTGATTTTCTCTTTTGAAGCCCTCTTCTAGATCTCTTAAGCATTCTGTGTTTCTTCTCATTATTCTTTTCTTTTTTCTCCTCTGACTGTATTTTGAAATTGCTTTTTTTAATGCTCACTAATTCTGCTTAATCAATTCTACTGACACTCAGGCATTTTCCAGCTCCAGGATTTGTTTGCTATTTTCTATTACGTCAGTATCCTTGTCAAATTTTTCTGATATAATTTTGAATTGTTTCTGTTTTCTTGAAATTCATCGAGCTTTCTCAAAATATTCTAAATTTCCTGAGAAGTTACATATCCCCATTGCTCCAGGGTTGGTGACTGGTGGCTTATCTTGGTCTTTTCGGTGAGGTCATATTGACTTAAATGTTCTTGATAATGTTGATGTTTGTTGGTATCTGCGCATTGAAGAATAAGGTATTTGTTCTAGCCTTTGCAGTCAGGTCTTGTTTGTACCTATCCTTCAGAGGGCCTTCCAGGAATTCAAAGTGGGCTGAGGAGTTCCCTAAGCCAGTGGTCACTACATCCATTTTTGTACTACAGGGCACCCTAGGCCCAGGTACACTGCAATCCTTACAGATTCCCAGGTCCCCAGGCCTCTTGGACTTGGGGAATATCAGGAATTGTTCTCTGGGTTCCCAGGTAAAGCCTCTAGCTTACTTTCCTCTATTTCCCCCAAGCAAAAGGAATCTCTCTGTAGGCTACACTGCCTGGAGTATGGGGAGGGGTGATGCAAGCATTCCCATAGCTGCTGCAGCTGCTGCTGTCATACTGGCTGTGACCTCAAGTCTGGCATCTTCCAGACCTACGCAACATCAGGGTTTGCCCAAGGAGTGTTGTGGTCACTGCAGCCTGCCTGCCCCTGACATTTATTTGAGGCCCAATTAATTTCCAGTGATAAAGCTGACCAGAACTTTGGTGGGTTCTTCCTCCTGGGGCAGCTGATTCCCTTGTGGCCCAGGGTGAGTCTAAATGCTGCTTCTGTGGACATCAGCCTGGAATCAAGCACTGTTGGGTTCTGTTCAGGGCTGTGTTTCACTATGGCAAGACTGGTACTGAGTTTCCTCCTTGTCTCCAAGCCATTAGATTCTCTCTCAAAGATGCATTTCCTGCGGTTTGGGGAGAGGTGTCAGAAGCAATGCAAGACCATCCTTCCTGCCTTCTTCAATGCATCTTGTTATTATGCTAAAACTGAGTGCTCTGATCTCTCACCTGATTACCTAGCTCTTGTGAAAGTGTTTTCGTGCATGGATACTTGTTCCATTGGATGTTCCTTCAGGGAGACCATTGCTGGAGGGTTGTATTCTATGATCTTACTGCACCTCCCACTTGGTTTTCTTTTTTAAATGTTTCTAGTAAATAATTGTGAAGTGATAGCTTTATTTTAATCTTGTGGATCAAAAGCATGTAGCTACGAACTTTTCCCAAAAAGCATTTTTAAAATTTTATGTCCATGTTGATGGAATGATATACTTTTTGGCTCAAGGGTCTTAAATGGATTTTTAGTTTTGATTCAGTGTGACAGAACACTGTTTTTATGAAGTGTGATCTGCAGCCCTCATGTACTAAAATCACCTGTGGTGCTTATATTATAAAAAAGCAGATTCTAGGGCCCACACCACCTAAATCTCCTGGGGTTGGAGACCAGTGTGTAGCTCCTGTCATCTCCACAGCTGCTTCTTAGGTACACCAAGTTTAAGAACTATTATTTCATGTTTTCAGACTAGGGATTCTTACAAAATGGCAAAGAAGAAAAACCTTAATCTTTTAAAGAGTTCAAGTCCCCAATTTCCACTCCCCCCCCACCCCGCTTTGCTTGCCGCGGTTGAGTCCGCGGCCTGCGCTGTAGCGGTCACCGCCATTCTTTGGAAGTAGCAACTTCCCTACTCCACCACAGCCCTGGTCCCCGTCCAGCCACTGACATGAAGATGAGCAGCTCAGAGGAGGTGTCCTGGATTTCCTAGTTCTGTGGGCTCCGTGGCAATGGATTCTTCTGTGAAGTGGATGAAGACTACATCCAGGACAAATTTAATCTTACTGGACTCAATGAGCAGGTCCCTCACTATCGACAAGCTCTAGATATGATGTTGGACCTGGAGCCTGGTGAAGAACTGGAAGACAACCCCAACCAGAGTGACTTGATTGAGCAGGCAGCCAAGATGCTTTATGTATTGATCCATGCCCGCTACATCCTTACCAACAGTGGCATCGCCCAGATGTTGGAAAAGTACCAGCAGGGAGACTTTGGCTACTGTCCCCGTGTGTACTGTGAGGACCAGCGAATGCTCCCCATTGGCCTTTCAGATATCCCAGGTGAAGCCATGGTGAAGCTCTACTGCCCCAAGTGCATGGATGTATACACACCCAAGTCATCGTGGCACCATCACATGGATGGCGCCTATTTTGGCATTGGTTTCCCTCACATGCTCTTCATGGTGCACCCCGAGTACTGGCCCAAACGACCTGCCAGCCAGTTTGTGCCCAGGCTCTACGGTTTCAAGATCCATCCGATGGCCTACCAGCTGCAGCTCCAAGCCGCCAGCAACTTCAAGAGCCCAGTCAAGACGATTCGCTGATTCCTCACCCCACCTGTCCTGCAGTCTTTGACACTTCCTTTCCTTTTTACCACCATTTCAGGAACCCTGTATGGTTTTTAGTTTAAATTAAAGGAGTCATTATTGTGGTGGGAATATGAAATAAAGTGGAAGAAAAGGCCATGAAAAAAAAAGTTCAAGCATTAGACTATGTGCTTCTTAAACACAGATTATCTTTCCCATTTTCTCTTTCCAGTTCTCTATACTGTCAAGGGATTTGGTGCAGAAATAGGAAACAAAGCAGTGAAAGAAAAACTTTATTTCTTAATATACATTTTGCTTTAATCATCACCAAAAAGACTTCCATCTTCTCTCTCCGACGTGTCCACCAGCTATATTGGCCTTCAACAGATGGTGAGAGCAACATACATAAATCTATATCATGCATTTATACACACAAACACATATCAGCACTGTGAAGACACAGACTGGGCTTTACTATGGCTGGGGGCCTCTCCCATGCCTATTAAAAATGAGCACAGGTTTGCTCTATGCAAGAATTTCAACAGAATTGGTCTGGCCATCAGTCCCCAGTTTCCCCGAGGTAAGATAGGATGACAAAATGGGACAGCATATTTGAAATGAGGTCAGTCCAATTCGGGTATCATAGAAAAAAAAAAGGATGAGCTAGCTTAAGCCTGAGATGGTATCTGGGAAGTCACGTTCAT